ATTAACTTCCAGGTTAATATGTCTCATTTATTACCATGTTAGCTTGCCTCATTCTTCCATGACAGAAGAACAAAAATATAACAACAACAACAAAAAAAAAACCAGACGCCAGCCTAAAGTGCTGCCTGTACAGCATAAGTGAAAGACTACTGAAAATGCTCAAGGTAAACAAGCCACTGTGCATAAAAGAAAAAAAAAGCAGTTCCAAAACCTTGCAAACAGAGTCTCTGAAATAAACAATTTTCTACACTGCCTCTTAAAAAAAAAAAAAAAAAAATCACCCTGGAACTATACTTACCAAGCACATAGCAGTCACCTATGTTTCAACTCCAAAAAATTAGAAATGCAATAACTAGACCCTTCATCTCAATAACCCTCCCAATTCAGAAATTTTACAGAAAGGACTAGTCCCATGAGAAGGGATACTCATATGTAACTTTTTGGCATAATAAATCCAGTAAATTATTGAAGTTATGAGATTGCTACATAAAAATTTCTTAACCTTTGGAAGATTGCAATCTGAGTATCTACATTTTGAAGATAAGTGCATTATTCATTTTAAAACAACAAAGCATCTTACTCTGACAGAACAGTTAATCATACAGTTCTGAATTCTAATAAATTATTTTTAGAAATAATACTTGAAACCAATCCAAAACAACACAACAAACAATGCTTCTATCCATCAGTACCAGCTTTGTTAGTAAGAACTGCTCATTGAGACCCTGAAGTAGGTATATACAAAACAAAGCACAATTACATATATGGATATTATTTAAACATTTTAGCATTATTGTGATGGAGAGAAAAAAAAAAAATTTTTTCGCACACTAAGTAATGCTTTCATATAATAACCCAGCTTCAGTTTTTAAATTATGTACTTCTCTGTCCATCTATGGTTGTAAATCACAGTAGACAAAAAAAAATACTTAACAAACATTACAATAAACATACAACTTGTCAGATGAAGCTCAAAGGAGCAGTACTAAAAAGTACTTTTTCATCTCTGTAAAATTGATTCAATTTTAAGCACTATGACAACCTTCTTAAACAAAAACATATTTGCCAAATGTGTTTTCATTTACCTGATTTGCACTGCAGCTCTGTATCAAGGGCTCCAGAGAGCACTTCCTCTATTTTCTGCACTATCTGATCATTCTGACGACTCCCAGCACCAGCAACTGTGTCATCTGAAGGGTTGGCTTGCTCAGCTGGGATTGTGTCACCATTGGGCTGGCCTTCTACCTTTCCACTAACCAAAAAAAATATCAACATAATACAGCAATTTTGAGCCTTTTTTGACTTTTTTTTTTTTAATTCATAAGCATTTATTATATTCAACCCTTCAAAACAGTATTTTAGCCTCCTGAAGAAGCGATGCCTTTAGTGGAACATCTACCTTTTGATTTACTTTCATTTATTCACAACAGAACACGTTGTGACAACCGAGTATTAGGCACAAGGGAGGAAATCATGTTCTCGAATATGCCACAGTCCCCGAGCTTTATGTAAGAACTTGCACAGGCTCCCCTCACAAAATAAGCACCCATCTCTCACTCTTCTCCAGTAGATTTTGCTTGCTTTGCGAGACAAGGCTGGGAAAAACTAGGCGAGCTGAAACGTGGTAAGATCAGTAAGACAAATCGTACAGACGCTCGCCCCGACACCGGAGACCAGCACCCAAAACCCGTGAGTGAAAACGGGTGCGCGTTCGCCAGGAGACAAC